CCCTATATTTTAGAAGCACCTATTTTCAGTCTGTAAAATGTTTTTTGGTTTTAAGAGCAAACTTTTAGAGGCCAATTCACAGCCAAAGGGCATTGAGTCTCTAGATAGTTGAACCTAAGGACAAGGTGTGTATGCGTAGAAAGGTGTTTGACTCTCTTTAATTATTGGCCACTATGAGCTTTAGGTGTACAACCCATGATTATCTCATTAATGCATTAATTTAAAAAACTCTAAATACATACTAACAGATATTTTCATATCTCATTTCTACTTTTACCCATGATTTACAAGGTAGAGCAAAGTCTACAGTAAGCATAGAATGTTTTCCAAGTAGTTCAAACATTTCTTTAATTTTCTTAATTACACATTAAATTTTGGACACTTAGAGTTGTTTTGGGGTTTCTTCATACAACCCCACCAATCACTTGCTATGTCGACTCTGCTGATGTGTTGGAAGAAGGAGCTAATCACTCCTTAAACCTACCCCCTACCTTCTTACATTAACTCTGATTGTCCCATGAAACAGTGGTCACATTTCAACCAAAAATGGCTGATTCTTAGCCAGCTAGTTGGAGCCCTGTGGCCTCAAGCTATCTCCTTCCTGAAGTGAAAATTACTTTGCCATTTCAAGGCAACAACCATTAAAATAAAGACAACTTTACTTCTCTTTCCTTCAAGAGAACTTTTCTCTTCAGTTAGTACTCTCTCTTTTTATTTAGTGTTTCTTTTTCCTGATGTCACCAAATTCCCTCTTTAAAAAAACTCAAAGTTCCACTAAGCGAATCAGTATCTTCAAACAATAATCACGCAGTAACTTATCTTCATGCATATTAAATTCCATATCAAGTGTCTGTCACTGTATAGACTTAGATTCACTCCTATGGAAGTCTGAGTCCTTTTATGGAGCCCCACTCTGGCTACAAGGTACTTGGAATGATGCTAGTATAGTTCTGGTCTTTGAGCCCAGTGAGGGAAGAGACTTACAAAAAGCCATTCCCAGATAATTTGGTGTTATCATTTGAATTTGAGCAATATATTTTCTTTCATTATTTCAAAGAGTTTATTTCAAGTAAATAAAATAAGCTATAAAAAAAATAACAGTACTTAAGAGATGTAATGTCTCAGTCTCCCAAAAAATTCCCACTCAGTGGAGGGACAGACAGGAAAAGATCTTATTCTCCTGTGTTCACCCCAGCCTACCCCAACCCACTAGCAAAAAAAAAGAGAAGAGATCCTAAAAACAAAATGGCCAACTAGAGAACATAATACTAATTCCTGTGATTTGATGTGGATTTCATCAGCTTAACTTCACCCTTACCCTGCCTGAGGATGTACAACTAGAAACTGTCCCTTCAATTTTTCTATCCAATTACATTTAATATTAATAAATGATATAACCAATTCTGTCCCATGGTCTGGTTTATTTCCAATTTGCATAGGCCACACAGCCCATGAACCCACAGGATCACAAAATATACAGAATCTCTCACACAATATATTCAGTATGGCTTGCAGAATGGTTTATATTATTTAAAAATCTGTATGCTTAATTGGAGCAGGACTCCAAGCTGAACCTACCACTCTGTATTGGCTTACAGCAGCTGAACTCACACATAGTGACACAGTCGGTCTGGTCTGTTGCCAGCCCCTTAGGGACTCCTACTCTTAATCCCATTTTCCCTAATGTACAGGGTTTTGTCACTTTTGGCTGGTACCTCCCTGCATTAAAATGACCCTTTCTCCTTTTCTCAGATGGTATGGTCTAGGAAACTAGGAAAGACTTCTAAACTATGGAAGTTGGTTTGCTCTGGACAAATACATCCATCTAAACCTGCTGTCACCCAAACAGTTCTTTAATAGCTCTTCATAATTGTCTTCAGACATGGAAAGTGATAGGATATGAATCTAAATGTAAAGAGTGTGTGCCTTCCAAATTTCTTTGTATCTTTCAATGGTGCCTATTGAAATTGTCATAATCATTTAATATTATTCAGCTAAAAGGAACCAGATTTTAGAAAATTAATTCCTTTAAGTCTTTCCCTTTTTGTTATAAAACAATGTTTATTCTGCAATACTGTTTCATAATGAATTTCCATCTCTTTGTTAAAATAAACTTTTCAAACATTTTAATAATCAGATATTAGACACAGAACTAAACATTTGTAAGTTGTTTTTTGTGGACAAAGACAGTGGTTCACTGGTCATTGTCATTTCCTGGTAGTTCAACTCAGGACAGATTTGATGCTACGTCAGAAAAGAGGAAGCAGCTTAATAATAAATTTCTTGAATCAGAAAGCATTCTTATACTTTTATTTAAAACTTAATAATAGTTACAATGAATTGGCAATTATACATTTTATCCATTATATGATGACAACATAGTAATTTAAAATTAAGAACTTAATTTAATAAAATATGTAAACACTTTTATAAACAAGTTTTGACAATGGCACTAGCTGTTAGGTGCAAGACTCTAAGAAAAAATAGCAGCCAGATCTAATGAATCCCAGGTACTGGGGAGACTGAAGCAAGAGGATTGCAAGTTCAAGATCAGTCAGGGAAATTTAGCTAGAGCTTATCTTAAAATAAAATTTTTAAAAAGAACTGGAGAAGTTGCTCAGTGGAAGAGCACTTGTCTAGAATGCACAAAGCCCTGGATTCAAGCCCTGGAAGGAAGAGAGGGAGGAAGGGAGAAAGGAGGGGCAGGTATAACATTAAGGTACTGTTTTGCCTTTTAATTAATATTTTGATTATATCATTAGCATACTGAAGTAAACTTTTTTTAAATCAAAGCTCACACCTTTCAAACAACAAAAAAACATAAAGTACATATAAACTAGAAAGCCTCAAACTTTCTCAATTAAATGCTCTACCTTCACAAGTCCTTCAGGTCTTAGATTTAGTTAATGTAGAAATATGATGTCTAAGTCAATTCAGTTAAAGTTATAAAACTATTTCTGAGTTATGAAACCCAAATATAACTTTGTTTTCTTTCAAAAAGACAAAGATTACATATCATAATAAATACATTTCTAATTTTTTTTGTAGTACTGAAGTTTGAACTCAGCCTCACTCTTGCCAGGCAGGAACTCTACTACTTGAGCCAACCCCCAGCCCTTTTTTGCTTTAGCTATTTTTCAGGTAGGATCCTGTGTTTTTCCCACAGCCAGGCTCAGACCTGGATCCTCCCTTACCTCTGACCTCCATGTAGCTGAGATGACAGGTATGAACCACCATGCTCAGCTTACTGGTTGAGATGAGGTCTAACTAAGGTTTTTCCTGGGCTGGCCTCCAACCATTATCCTTCTGATCTCTACCTCTGAAGTAGTTGAGATTACGGACATGAACTACTGAACCCTACCTCTTGTTCTAAAATCTGTGCATAAGCCATCTAATGACAATATGAGTCTCTTGCACATATTTTTGGTGCCCTTTCATCTACTAACCTCACAATTAAGGAGATCAGAATGTTTATATGGGCTGTAAATCAGCTGTTCAGACATGATTCATAGTATCTGTGTTGGGAAGCTGCCCTCCTTGTAAGCTTCTAACTTATAGAAGAGAGTACCTATCCAAAGGAATCTAAGAATATAATCTAATTTGCTTACTGTAAGTGTGAAGTCAAGTGTGGGGAAAAGTTCACTCTGAATCATGATATTGATTGCATAAAATTACTTTGTCTCTCTGGGGTGATAATAATAAGCATTTACTGAGTTCTCATTAGTGCCAGTTACGTAAAGCTAGAGGCTTTACAATATTGTTTCATTTAGCCTTCAAAACCCTGTAGTTCAGGTGATGTTATTTTCCTTGTTATACACATAAGGAAATCAACGCACAAAGAAGTTAATAAGGAATTGTCCAACATCAGCACCAGGATTCGAACCAGGCAGAATGATGCCCAAATCCACCATCTCAAACTTCCATTCTGCACTGCTTCACATATACTGGAGTGCCACATTCATCGCAGGTCCCCAAACACACCATATTCTTTGTATTCTATGACTTGATATTTCTCCTTCAAAATGTGATTTACCTTAAGTATGATATATTTGATACACTATAAGAAACTTTGTAAATGCTACAATGGACCCCCACCCAGCACAATAATAATCATAAAAATAGATATTAAAAAAATAAAAATGCATTTAAAAAGTTAAAAAACAAAAACATGATTCACCTATCACCTCGTTCATGAGGACTTCCCTGACTTTTCCTTCCTTAGGTTCCCATAACACTGTGTGTGTGTGTGTGTGTGTGTGTGTGTGTGTGTGTGTGTGTGTTCATCTGTCTGTCCTTTCACCACTGACTCCTAAAGCAGAAAGAAGCTATGAGCTCCAGGATACCACACGTTAGTGATTAAGAGGAGCTCGCTGTTTTAATGTGCTCCATGAATGGGCAAACAGATCATTCACCATTTAGCCCTGGTTCAATAAAGACTGCTGTGCTGGTGGCAGGATGTAATCTGCAACATAACAACCACAGATGCACATCCATGCTACTGCTAATTTTTAAAAATTGCTAAAAGGAGGAGGAAAAGAAAAAACTTTACAGTATAATAGCATTTTATAGCAACCATGGAAATAACAGGAGATAAATAATAAGATCATATTCTGTGGCATAGTAGTCAATGATATGACTTTTTCTTTATTGTTGTGCTGGGTGGGGTGCATTTACAAAGGTTCTTACAATGTATCAAATATATCATACTTGAATTCACCCCCTCTACCGCTTTCTTTCATCCTCCCTCCCCCAATTCCTGGAACAGTTACAGCAGGTATGATAAGCCATTTTTAAGAGAAATTGTGGTAAGCTGTGTTTGTCACTGACGTTGATGTGACTTATCTCTATTTTGTAATTGAAGGGTAAAAGCTATGACCCTAGAACCAGTTTTCCCCAAATTGTAGAATTCTGAGGTTTCTAACTGAATAATCAGTTTCCTCCCTCTGAGACCACAGGCAGCCTACTAAGTTTTTAAAATGAAATGTCACCCTTGCTCCTAGGTGCTGTTTCTAACTGACTTCCCAGAACTGCAAGGCAGTAGGCTCTGGACTTGGACATTAGTTTTGAATATTCCACTATTCAAATTCTTCACAAAATCCTAGGTCGAACAAGTGATTTAAAAAAAAAAGACAGGCAAGGTAAGTAGAATGCACCTTAAATGGACTGGCTCAGCCTTGTGTTCTTACCATTTAATAACAGATAATGTTGTGTAAAATACTAACCTCTCCCTCATCAACCAAATGGGATAACAGTGCTTGCTTCAGTAGCACATATTCTAAAATTGGAAGGCTACAGAGAATATTATCATGTAGCATGGCACCTACACAGGATGATATATAAATTTGTGAAGCATTCCAAATTTTTGTGATACCCTATCTGAAAAATAGCTAAAGCAAAAAGGGATGGGGTTATAGCTCAAGGTTCTGAGTTCAAACTTCAGTACCATCAAAAAAATTTAAATAAATAAATAAAAATTAGATGATAGTAGATATCTATCTCTTATAGTTATCTGAATGATGAAATGAGTTTATTATGTTAAGTGCTTAGAACCGTGTCTGCCATATAATAAGTACCTCATGCATATCTGCAATCATCAAGTTATTTAGAAATCTATATGCGTATGTTAGCTCTCAAGAGGTGCTTTCAAAATTGTTGAAACTTTATGCCTTCCACTTAGTGAATGTGACAGAGATATTACCCTGGGAAAAACATTTCTTCAAATATTTATACCGTGTCCAAAATAATAATATGTTGCTATTCATTTTGCTATTTCTTAAATAGGGACTACATGACAAAAAATAATTTTGAAGTTAATACCAGAAAATATTTTCTCTCTGGAAGAGCAGTCATTGTTTCTATAAGATACTGAAAGTTAAAAACCACTGTTTTGGTGGGTGTGGGAAAGAATTTACAAACAGAGCTCAAAGTTACAAACTTTGGAAGAGCCTGAAATTTGGGTGACTGGGTTGCCAAGATACATTTGCTTTTATGGTCAATCAAATAAAAATGGGACTGATTTTTTTCTCATAGAAATTAAGGAACTAGAAGGAATGTGGGCCAGGGGACTACAGTAGGTGAGGCCAAGCTTCTCCTCAGAAAATAGGGCACCTCCCCCCCACACACACACCCCAAAGTAACTGTGAAGCCCTACTTCTTAACAATGCAAGGCATTGAGTGAGGAGAGGTTCAATGGCTTAGGGATTCTCTTCACTCAGCTAAGGGCTGCAATCAAAATGGAGATCAGATCTCTACCACTTACCCAGAATCCATTATTTTATTTTCAAAGCCTAGGCCTTACCTGTCTCAAGACTGATTCTCATAAAACTTGACTCTCATGTTGCCCTTCCTTGTCCCTAATGTGACAGTTATTTCAGGACAAATAGGTAGAGTTTGTAGCTACCTTGTTCAAATATTTCTCGAGTAAAGTAAGAGTCCTCTTTTCATAGATTCTTTTCTTCAAGTAGAGTAAATTGTTTCAATTTTATAGCATTGGCTATTAATAGACAGGCAAAATTTAGTGACAATTAATATCAATTTTAACTATTTTCACTTTGTAGTAATTATTACTATGTGATTGAAAACAACATAAAGACAGTATGGAGGAAAGAACAGATAAGTACCTAGGACATACGTTTTGTTTTTCTGTATTTTTTGCTTATTCATTTATTCACATGTGCATACATTATTTAGGTCATTTCTCCCTCCCTGTCCCCCAGCCCCCTTCACTTCCAGGCAGAACCTGTTCTGCCTTTATCTCTAATTTTGTTGAAGAGAAGACATAAGCATAATAAGAAAGACAAAGCATTTTTGCTAGTTGAGTTAAGAGTATCTAATCTATACAGAGAGATTCCTAGCATTGCTTCCATGTACAAATATGTTATAACCCAAGTTGATTCACCTCTACTTCTGGTTCCTGATCCCCTGATCTCTACTTCTGGTTCCTGATCCCCTTCTCGTGTTGACCTCTGCCGCTTTAAGGTAGGATATTACATTTTGAAGAACACTCCCTGTAATAAGAAAAGCTGTCAGGATATGTGCAGTCAGATCCTTTTGTGAAACCACGATTGCCTTTGTCCTGTATTTTCTATGTTTAATGTTATTAGACCACGATTAAGTCTGGGCTGAGGGCATTTGTCAACAGTTGAAGTCATTTTCTCTTTGGTCACAGCTGCAGTTGGAGGTTATTCTCGATGACCCTATACTCAAAGGGCGACAATAAAGTGACCTTCACCATTCAAGAATCTATTCAAACAACTAATATACATGTTAAGTGGAAACCAGGACAGATGGCAATATCAGCCACAGAAAAGCTCTTTGTCACTGTTAGAGACTCATATTCTGTTCTGGTCTAGATAGTGCATTTACATCTATAAAATATTTCCACAATAGAGAAGTTCTAAGACACCAAACAGATCAATGCACAGCTTAGCACTAAGGTGGCAAAGAATACTTAGCACCTTATAATATCTGGATACATGTGCATAGGATCAATCCAGTGACTTTGCCTTATTCACATGAAGAGGATGAAAAGAATTACACCTGGTTAATTGGTATTTGTTAGAGATCTTCTAAGTGCCTGGCACTGCACTTCCTGCCAAAAATGCCATGGTGAGCAAGGTAGTTAGTGATTGGATTCCTTCCAAACCACCAGAGAAATGGCAAAAAAAATTATTTTAAGAGGCCAAAAAGCATGAGTTAGGAGAAAACAGCAGCATATCATTTAAGCTGGAAAGCAGATATAATAATGGAAACCAATTTAGCAAACTCCAAAATGCTGAATTCTAAAACCAGTGGTGGGTAAAGCCCAGAAGCAATGAATTTTCCACCAAATCACTCCCCAAAGGCTCAGGAAATGACTTTGCTGCGTTTCTCTGAAATTGAGAAGTAAAGGTGAGCCAAGTAACAGGAAGATTAAATAAGAACAACTACACACCTGCCAAACTCCTTCACTCATTCATGCAGCTAAGAAACTGAAGTTTTATTCATGACTGGTGAAAAATAGAGTACATGGAGTGGGAACATCAGGCAGAAGAGAGAACAGGGAAGCCACTCTGAAAATAATAAATTATAGAATTTATCTACACAATGTTGAGAGTCATGGTCTTTTTCCCTACTGGACTGAGAGAACTAAATAATCATATTTCTCCAGGAAGTGTGTTCAAAGAGTCAGGGAATTCCATCAGTCTCAAATGAAGAAAACAAAAAGTAGGAATACTAAGATCAAGGATTTCCTGAACAAGCAATCCAACCAGATCACAATTGACCCTTTGTGTGCACAGTCATAAGCTGTCTATTCAGAAGTGAGTAGACAATAATGGATCAACATGTTTTGGGGAAGATATCCAATTCAGTAGGCACAAAAACTGTAACACCTTACAGAAAATACAGAGTAGGTAAAGAGATAAGATATTGTGTCAATAGAAAGAGAATAATATACTATAAAATGTGTACATTTAAAATCAAAATAAAAATGTGTCTGGAAATTACAATGATGGAAATAAAAAACTAAATAAAATGTAAAATAAAAGTAAAGTTGAGGCATTACTCCAGCAAATACAGCAAAATCATAGAGAAATTGAACATTGAAAATGGCATGAACAATGTATGCACATATGAATAAATGAATAAGGAAAAAACATTTTTAAAAAAGAAAATAAGAAAAGATATTTTTAAAAATTTGTTCAAGTATCCTACCACTAAATAATAAGAATTCCCCATTATGAAGGAAAATTTTTAATTGGGGGGTGGAAGTCATCAAAGGAATAGTTTCAGAATTAAAGACCATAAGTTTTGTAACTCAGGGAATGATGGAGTGGCCAGTACAATTAAAAAGAATAGACTATTTTCATTAGGAAATTTTGCAACACTGGACAAAGAAAAATCTTCAGTATTTCCAGAGCAAAAGTGCAAATTCTGTAAAGCAGATAAAGTATCAAATGATATCAGACTTCCCAGCAGCAGTGGTGGGTACCTACATAGTATGAAGTGCCTTCAAAATTCACTAGGTAAATTATTTCTAAACCAGAATCTGTTCCAAGCAGCACTATTGATCATTTGTGAGTGTAGACATACCTCACACAATCATGTTTTCAGTTATAAAAAATACAAAAATATTTTACTTCACATGCACCCTATCTCACTCAGAAAGCCCTTAGAGGATGTACTTACCAAACAGGGAAATAAAGTAAGTAGAATATGTAGTATTTCAGTAAATAAGCAACATGGGATTTTATCCAAGAAAAAGCAAGGAGAACCACAGAATGAATTCTATGCTGCAGTTAGATTAGAATGAAACCAAGCAAACAGGTCTAAGAGAGTTCCCCAATGGAGGGAAGTTGACAGAATACCTGATACAGTACAGTTCAGGTGAGCATGGCACACATAACACTAGTAACGTATTAATAATCTTAAAGATCACTACTGATCTAAGTGTATTAGGAGAACAGGATACAGAAAGTGTTTGATATAAACATAATGCGGGTGTGTGAAAAGAGAGCTGAAGCCTTCTCTTCCTAGAAGGAAATCAATAATCAATGCTTGAAATTAAAATTTCAAGAAATATTAAGGTAGACATATTTATAAAGACATTTAAAAGTGTGGACATATTAAGATAGAAGAATTATGAGTACTTGCTTCTGTAGAACTGAAAACTGTTGGAATGGACAGAAAGCCACTGTTTTCCATAAGCCCCAGATCTGCAAAATTCATTTCTTTCCATCTTCATATCCTTCCGTTCAAATTGGCAGTTTTCCTACTAAGGTGGATAGATTATTAACTTCATGATTCTTACTCATACTAGTATCTCTCCCCTATTCTCTCTCTCTCTCTCTCTCTCTCTCTCTCTCTCTCTCTCTCTCAGACAAGATCTAGCTATATAGCCTAGGCTGGCCTCAAACACCTGATCCCCTTTTTTCACATCCCAAATTCTGGAATTAAGGCGAGCCACTGGGCCCAGCTTTGTTAATCTCATCTGAGAGTCTTTTGGCCATATGATAATGCTCCCTTCTGCATTTTTTGCAATATGAATATCCTAAGAATTTTCTAAATCTTTATTTTCTAATTTCTTTTTGCTTAATAATTCTGTATTCAAGTCATTTCTTTCCTCTTGCATTTATTATAAACAATCAGGAAGAAGATT